CAATTCAAAAACTCTTTCTAGAAGCAAGTATCACTCTAATACCAAAACCCGGTAAAAACACAACAAAAAAATACAACTACAGGCTCATATCCTTAATGAACATAGGTGCAAAGATACTCAACAAAATACTTGCAAACTGCACACAGATCAAATCAAAAAGATCATTCACCATGATCAAATCAGCTTTATTCCAGAGATGCAAGGAAGGTTCAATATATGTAAATCAATAAATGTTATAAATCATATAAATGGGACTTCAAAGACAAAAAGAACATGGTCATTTTAATAGATGCAGAAAAGGTCTTTTGACAAAATCCAACATGCATGTTAAAAGTCCTAGAGGGAACTGGACTGGAGGGAACATACCTCAACATAATTAGTTATATACAACAAACCCGTAGCCAACATCATTCTAAACAGAGGAAAACTGGAAGCATTCGCATTAAAATCAGGAACATTAACACAATGGAATTCTACTCAGCAATAAAAAAAAAGATGAAGTTATGAAATTTTCAGGTAAATGGATAGAACTATAAACTGTTACTCTTAAGTGAAGTAACACAAATGCAGAAAAGCAAGCGATGTATGTTCTCCCTCATTCACAGACTGTAGCATCAATCTCTTATATATGAGCATATATCCTAATGCAACAGCAGGAGTCAGGAAAACTATGAATAAAGGGAATACTTATATTAGTTAGACTAGAACTTGTAACTTGCAAGTGCCCAAATGTCTTTTCTTCAGTCTGTATTTTTTTTTGTATGATATACTGAGACTAATAATGAGATGTGATAACTACACTGTGGATATTCTTTTATTCTTTAATATAAAAATTTTCCATAAATGATTTCATTAATACTCTAATTTCTATTTAGATAGTCAAAATCAAATATAGAATCTAGTAGAGCCTGTATTTAGGCATTTAGGCAGCATAGTATTTCAAATTATTAAAGACTTTAACATGCCTTTAAAAAAAATCCTAGAGCAAAACAGGTCACCTTTTTCGCCCCCTTGGAGAAAGCTTCGCCCTGTAGCCCCAGCTGGCTTGGAACTTGCTATGTAGACCAAGCTGGCCTCAAACTCACAAGGGATCTGCCTGTCTCTGCCTCCTTTTTTTTGTTTTGGTTTTTGGTTTATTTTGGTCTTTTTGAGACAGGGTCTCCCTGTAGCCCCAGCTGTCCTGGAACTCACTATGTAGACTAGGCTGGCCTTGAACTCACAGAGATCCACCTGCCTCTGCCTCCCAAGTGCTGGGATTAAAGGCATGCGCCACCATGCTTGGCTCGGCCTCCTTTTTTAAACTTTACAAACTAAATTTAGTGAGGCTCCATTTAATAAGTCAAGAATTCATATCCATATTAACAGCAAATTTTGCAACTAGATGGGGTATAAGATAATTGTAACACATTATATGAATAACTGTGGTTGCTCTGCTAAAATATCAGTACAGAGACCCAAACTGCTTCAAATGCTATCCACAAAATGGGTGAGGTATGAAAACAATGTGTTTAGCATGTCCTCTAGCTGTACTTTTACTTGTCTTAATTATAAAGGATCTACTATCAGCGCCAAACACAGATCATATTATCATTCTTAGAATTATAGTAGTATTGCAGCAAATGCTTCCTACTATGAGAAGCCTGAGGGGGAATATATACATACTTCTTTCCTTTGCTACTAGGCACATGAAGAAAAAGAGTTCTAATATTAGACACATGAATGAAGATAAATAAGAATCATTGCAGAAGAATTTTTCGAAGTTCTTGGGGGCTGGAGAGGTGGCTGGCTCTCTTAGGAGCACTGGCTGTACTTGGAAAGGACAGGGGATTGGGTTCCCAGTACCCAAAGGCAGCTAACAACTGTAACTCCAGTTCCAGGGCATCCAACACACTCTTCTGGCCTCCACAGGCACTGCACACATGTGGTGCACATACATAAACATAAGCAAAACATACATATATACAATATATATATGTATATATTCAGGAGGTGGAGGCAGGAAGAGTATCAGGCTTGGTGTGCACACAGGCACCCCCAGGACTCTGGCAGAGGTCAAAAGTTATCTTCCACTACATAGTGAGTTCCAGGCCAGCCTGGGCTACATGAGACCCTGTCCCCTAAGACTTTTACTGTGGCTAAAGAGATAGCTCAGCCATTAAGAGCACTGGCTACTCTTCCAGAAGAGCCAGGTTCAGTTCCCAGCACCCATATGGCAGCTAACAACTGTCTTTAACTCCAGTTCCAAGGGATCTGACACCCTCTTCTGACCTCCGTGGGCACTGCATACATGCAGGCAAGTTCTCAATGTACAAAAATACTTCTATGGTTACCTAATTCAACTTACCAAGTCATCTCTACTCTAAACACAAATACACCTGAAATTAAAATTTTATAATCTAATTATGGCTTTAATAATGTAATTTTTCATGAC